AACCAGGCATTGTTGTTCATCCTATAATCCCATTAGGGAAGACCAAAAATTCAAGGTCAGCCATTTGTAACAATAGCACACGAAGTCCCAGCACTCAGGAGACAGGCAGGTGAACCTCTATCAGTTCAAGACAAACCTGGTCTTCATAATGAATTCCAGATCAGCCAAGGCCACAAAAGTGAAACCATGTGACAAAAAGAAAAACACAGAAAGAAAAAGAAAATTAAAGGTCACCTTGGGCAACATTCCTCATATCTCAAAGAGACAGAAATGTTTGGGGGGGGGGGGTGACCAAAAAAAAAAAGAAACAAGAAAAATCTTCAGTCTGGTTCAATACTAGGAATCAATAGACTGAGAAGAGAACCAAGCAAGTGAGGCCTGATGGTAGTAGCTGAGATGGCAGCACTTCTGAGACAGAGGCAGGAGGATCAGAAATCCAAGGACAAACTCAGCTACATGGCAGGTTTGACTGAAGACAACCTGGACAATGAGAGAGACCCTTCAAACAAAACAGAAAAAAAGGCCAAAACAAAACAAAACACAACAAAAAAAGAACACTTCCATAGAAAGAAAACATAATCATAACCTATTTCTATACAAAAACAGTAATTTACCTTCCAAGATTCAAGTGGTAGCCATTACTTTAAAAATAAACAAGACCACTGGGCAGTGGCTCACGCCTTTAATCCCCAAAGTCGGGACATAGAGGTAGGCAGATTACTCTTCTCAAACCCAGTCTGATCTACACGAGCTACTTCCAGGCCAGGCTCCAAAGGTACACATAGAATAAACTAGTCTCAAAAAAAAAAAAAAACCAAAATATAAAAAAATAAAATAGGTGGTGGTGCATGCCTTTAATCCCAGCACTGGGAAGCAGAGACAAACATATCTCAGGAAGATTTAAGGCCAGCTGGGTCCACAAAGCAAGTTCCAGGACAGCCAGGACTACACATAGAAACTTGTCTCGAAAAACCAAAAACAAAATAAACAAGACACAACAAATGCTTAAGAATACAGAAACCATTATTATTGAGAAATAAATTATTCCAGTACATTCAAATTTAAGTCCCATCCTCAATTACCCCAATAACCTAAGAACGACTGCCTATACAATGAAATTATCCAAAGACTTTGCTAAAACACAAAAATCATCTGTGAGATGGAAAGATGGCTCAACCAATAAGAATGCTTGCAGAGAATCTAAATTCAAATCCCCAAAAGCCGTGTTAAAAAGACTAGAATAGTCATGCACCTCTGTAACTCCAAAGCAGAAGGAAGGGGGATGCTAGGGCTTGCCGTCAACAGCACAGCTCCAGGCTCAGTAAGATACTCTGCCTCACGGGAATAAACCCATCTGCCTCCTTTGACCTCCATGAGCGAGCATACACTTGTGTGCACAGGTGGGGGTACCTAAGCACACATATATAACATACATACATGCATGGATGCATATACACACACATGCAAACACACACACAGTAACTGTTACATGGGGGAAGGAAGGTGGCACTTTATACTCACTGGGAAACCAAAACCAAAAACTTGCAGCGCTGCAAGCCTTCCAAATCTGATATTAAACCAACTTTTCCTCTTAATGAAGAAGGTTCTCAAAGCAATAAGCCATTTCCTACCTATCTGACCAAAGAGATGTATTAAAACTGAGTTTTAAAATGCTCCTTTTCAGAGTGAGGGGTATAGGACAATGGCAAACACTTCTGTTTCAGAAGTTACAGAATCCTGAGGATCAATCCCTAGTTTAAAGAGAGAGAAGAGCGAGGGAGATATCTCAAAGACATAGTGGTACAGGCCAAAATCCCATCATTCAGGAGCCAAAGAATTCCTCCAAGTTTGAGACCAGTTTAAGACACAAAATGAGGCCAAGCCATGTCTTTATTAATGCCAGCGCTAGGAACACAGAGGAAGGCGGATCCCTGAGACGGAGGCCAGAGTTCCAGGACAGTCAGGGTTACACAAAGAAATCCTGTTTTGGAAAAAAAAAAAAAAAAAAAAAAAAAAAAACCAAAAAAAAAAAACCAAAGACTCAAAGCAAGTAGCCAGCCAGCTTAGGGGTACACAATAATTTCATTTCAAAACAAAGGAGAAGTCCTGAGAGACGGCTCAGAATCTAAAGGCACATGAAGCAAGCCTGATGACCTGTCCATCCCAAGACACAGTCCTCTGACTTCACATGGTTACAGAGGCAAGAATACATAAACACACAATGAATAATAATACAACATTAAAATAAAGAATAAATATGATCCTGTTTATGTGTGGATTCACAAGCCTACAATCCCAGCACTTAAAAAGGCAGAAAATCAGGAGTTAAGGCCAGCCTCGACTACCAGAGACTTTTTTCCCCAAAAGTAATAAAATAAATCCAACGTATCAAATAACTGTTGATCTAACACTTGACTCCCTATTATGGACCAGACCCTAGAGCTATCGAGGGATAAATAATTCCTGTGTATTAGAGAGGAGATTTTAGACATTATTCTGATTAAGGGTGAATGTGCTCCTGCCACACCTGACAGTAGTTCAACTCCCAGAACCTACATCATGGGAAGAGGGAACAGACTTTCAAGTTATCCTCTGAACTCTGCAAAGCAAATATAAACGTAAAAAAAATTCAAAAAAACTATTTTAGCCAGGCATGGTGGTGCACACCTTTGATCCCAGTGCTTGGGAAGCAGAGTCAATCTCCTGGAAACCAGCCTCGTCTACCAGAGAGTTCTTGGATTCCAGAACTACAGAGAAAGAAGTGATTCTGTCTTTAAAAAAAGAAAGAAAGAAAAAAAGAAAAAAAAAACACAAAACAAAGTTCAAGGCTAGCCTGATCTATAGTTTACACAACTTCAATCCCAGACTCTGGAGGCAGAAGCAGGAAGATCTCTCTGAGTTCGAAGCCAGGCTGGCCTACAGAACAGGTTAGTCAAGGCTACATAGATAAACCCTGTCTCAGCCGGGCAGTGGTGAGCTCACCTTTAATTCCAGCCCTTCGGAGGCAGAGAGAAACCCTGAATCACCTCTGATTAGCACCCAACAGTGGGGTACACCACCCTGCAGTTCAAACGGCACTTGTACATTTTTATAGCATCTACTTAATTTAGCGATAAAATAATCCCAAATGAAATAGCCAATTTGCTAATGAACTACAATCAACCAACAAGTTTAGCTGATCTACAAAGTCAAACAACAACGGGTATGCAACACAAAAGATCAAGCTTTGGTCAGCCACCAAAGCTACAAATGCCCACACACAAATGACATATTAGGGGTGGGACTCCCTCTGTGCAGCCAAGGGGAAGCCACCGTGGGCTGTGGAAACTTTCCAGTGGGGCTGGCTGCTTTGGGGTCAACCATGCTCCTTGTCAGTAAACGGCTCCCCCTCACCCCACGCTCTGTAAGCCCAATGAACGCATTGGTTCCCAGAATGAAAAAAAACAAAATAACTGCCTCTGACAGAACAAAAACAGAACCATTTTTAATTTTCTAATTATTTTGCAAACAATGTCTGAGGGGGAAAGAAGAATAAGACCAAAAACATTTCTGGCTTTCAAGTGTCGGGCTAGGCCGGCATTGTAGCACACGGGCCTTTTAACCCAGGACTAGGGAAGCAGAGGCAGGCTGATGGATCTCTCGAGGCCAGACTTGTCTATGTGGTAAGTTTCAGGGCAACCAAGGGTACATGGTGAGACCATCTCAAAAAAGAAAACGAAAACAAAAAGGCGTTTTTGTACTTTCAGGTTTAAAGACAGAAGAGTAAGGCCGGAACATTTCTGGCTTTAAAGTGTTGGTACTTTCAGTTCCTCCAATGACCCAACTTATCACCTTTTGGTCCTCCTCACTCTGGATTCATACCCGAATTTCTCCTCACACCGCCTCTTCCTACCACGGCAGCGATTCATTCACAGCCTGCACGACTCACTCCCTGCCTCGAGACAAGATGTTCCCTCGGGCTCAGACGTCCTCCCCTAATTTAAAACTGATGGATCCTTTTACATCAGCGCCTTGACACCGCCTCTCAAAGTAACTAAAGCACAAATTAATGGCTCCGTTACCAAGCTTCTCAGAAAGTACTGGCCTTACTTCTCTGTACGTTCGCCTTTGATTCTCTAAGAGAATTAAGAGCCCCACATCTGTCTCCCTATCACGCCGTCAAGTTTCCGACCTCCTTAGTTGTTTCCCAACACCGGACCACACACTTAGAAAGGCTGTGTTTAGCGGCTCCGAGAAGCCATGTTGTCAGCGCAAATTTTGGTTGGTAAGCCGGAACCAAGAAATACGGTTTCAGCTTCGCACACTTCAATTCCTTCCTGTCTTCCCCGCTGACTTTCTTATGGAATTCGGACTAGTTCCAGGACGCTCCTAGTCGTGTTTCCTCTGTGTGCCATAAAATGATCAACTATTCTGCAAGCTTCGGCAACTGCTAAAACCTGCCCTCTCTTTCTTCCGTCTGTTTCCTCCGCCAATCAGCCCTCGAAGCAAAAACGCTACCCTGAAAGTGACTCCAGGGGGAAGCTACCGGGTTTTACGCCCGAATCGTTTCGGGCAAGAACCACACAACCGGAGACGCCCGGAACGCCGAGCTCTGGACTAACAGGCCTGCGTGGGAGCCGGCTCCGTTAAGAGCGGCCCGACAGCGGCCGCCGATCTCGGCTTCCCGGCTGCCGACGGCCAACGACAGCGACCGGGGAGGCGAGAGAGACTCCCTCCCACCGCCTGCCTCCCCCGCAGTCCTCCAGGGCGAGCCCCCGAGGGAGGCCATCGGGTCGGGGCGGGAGACAGGGCGGAACAAAGCGCCGGTCCCGGGGAGGCAGAGGACGCCATTACGCGGGCTGCGGCCTGCGCCGAGGAGCCGAGCAAGGGCCCCACTGTGCGGGACCCGGTCCGGACCGGAGAGGCCAAAGGCGAAGCCGCCGAGAGGCCGCTAGGGCTAGGGCCGGGCGCGGAGGGGTTGGCGAGCCGACGCCGCGCGTGGGTAGGCAGCCGCCGCTTACCTTCGTGAGTCTTGGCGATCTTCGCCATCTTGTCCACTCGAACACTCACAGACGGAACTGGCGCTCCCAGGCACTTCCGCTCGCCGCCGCCCACCGACGGAGGAGCAGCGCGCCCGACGTGCGCGCTCCGGAACTCGCGCCGCACTCTGGCACGAAAGCCGACTGCCACCTAGATGGAACGACGAGATGCATGGCGGGAGTGGGCGGGGCCGGGCGGGAGTGGGCGGGACCAGGGCCCGCCCCCGGAGGCTTCCTTAAAGGGCGAGCGAATACCCGGAACTGCTCCGCCCCCACAGGGCTACTCCAGCCTGGAACAGCCGGCTTTGGACCTCCGTGAGTTCAAGGCCAGACTGGTCTGTAAACGCGAGTTCCGAGAAAGCCAGGGCTACAGAGAGAAAGCCTGTCTGGAAAAATCCAAAAAAAGAAAGAAAGAGAAAATGACTGGATTCTACTCAGGCAGTTCACAAATGCTGGGACCAGCAGTGAGACAGGGGGATCCAGAGTTCAAGGTCAGCCTCTGCTGTGAAACCAGTACAAAGGCAGCCTGGGCTCCCAGAAACCTCCCTTAAAAAGATAAATAAGGGGGGGAGATGGAGAGATGGCTCAGTGGTTAAGAGCATTCCTGCTCTTCCAAAGGTCCAAAATTCCCGGCAACCACATGGTGGCTTACAACCATCTGTAATGAGGTGCCTTCTTCTGGCCTACAGAATATTGTATACATGATAAATAAATAAATATTTTTTAAAAAGATAAATAAGTATAAATAAACCTACAAAAGCCAATTTCCACTTGATTCTGGAAAGTTGAATGTCCGGGGAGATCAGGTCAGATTGCTGTAAATCTTGGCCCAAGCATGAACACAAACACAGTAAATTAGCCAGGTGTAGTGGCTGGCTGGTGCACACCATTATTAAATCCCAGCACTCGGTAGACAGAGACCGGCAGAACTCTAGATTTGAGGCCAAAGCGAGTTCCAGGACTGCCAAGGCTACACTGAGAGACCCTGTCTGGAGGGAGGAAGAAAAAAAAAAACTTGCATATTGCAGACAGTGGAAAACAGAAAGGACAGATGGGACACCAGGAGAAACCTAGGAGAGGTTAGAGAGATCACCCAAAGGTTAAAGACTATTTGCTCTTCCAGAGAATCCCAAATTCCCAGCACCCACATGGCCTCTTAAATCCAGTTCCAGGGTGTCTGATGCCCTTATCTGGCTTCTGTGGGCACTGCAAGAATGCGGTGAGCATACAGAAATACAGGCAAAGCATTTATGCTTTTTAAAGCAGTTAAGAGCACTGACTGCTTTAGCGAGAGGACCCGGGTTCAGTTTCCAGTCGAAAGGGAGCTAATGCCCTCTCTGGTTTCCGTGGGCAATGGGTATACACATGGTACACATATATACATGCTGGAAAGACACTCATACACATAAAATTTTAAAACGTGAAAGAATTGCAGGATGGAGACATTTGCAACAAAGACAGTATAAAAGCACGGTCTATAAGCACAGTAACCCGCAAACCGGAGTTCCCTATAGAACACAAGGAAGGATGGATGGAGGAACGCACCATCTGCCGCCTGAGGAGTCTGAGTTTATATGCTTTTTAATAGTGTTTGGAGCAAAGTGTGGCTCTGTTTGTTTATGTTTGTTTCCAAGACAGGGTCTGGCTGTGTCGTCCTGATTGTCCAGGGACTCTCTCTGTATACCAAGCTGGCCTCAAACTCAGCATCTGCCCGCCTCTGCCTCCTGAGTGCTGGGATGAAAGGCGTGAGCTACACCAATCTGGTTGTTTCTCCTTCTTGAATTCGACTGGGTAAGATGAATTTAGCTGGTAGGGTCATTTTTAATGGCAGCAAGGGCTTGCCTGAAACACAGGTTGGGGGAACCTTTGAAAGTTCCCATGGAGGTGGCTTGAGAAATGGCTCAGAGGTTAAGAGCACTGGCTGCTCTTCCTAAGGTCCTAAGTTCAATTCCCAGAAACCACATGGTGACTCACAGCCATCTATAATGAGATCTGGTGCCCTCTTCTGGCATGCAAGCATACATGGAAGGAATGTTGTATACATAATAAATAAATCTTTTTAAAAAAAAAAAAGAAAGAAAGTTCCCATGCAAACGAAGTCCTCAGGCCCACAAGGGTGGGAGAGCATCAGCCTTCTGACAGAGGGGTACTCAGCCAAGCCCACTCCTGGGTTATCCGTGCCCCCCCATCCCCCGGAATTCCAGAGAAAGGTAGCCCAGTGACGGCCCAGGGTAAGGAGGGAGCTTCTTTGTGACAAGAGAATGGGTCTCTACTCTTAAGTAGAGGCCCTCAGAGTTTAAGCTGTTGGATCCCATCCAGGGCCTCTCTCCTTACCTATCTACCCATTAAGAATTAACTATTTCAGCCAGGCACTGGTGGCGCACGCCTTTAATCCCAGCACTCAGGAGGCAGAGGCAGATAGATCTCTGTGAGTTTGAGGCCAACCTGGTATACAGAGCAAGTTTCAGGACAGTCGGGACTATACAGAGAAGCCCTGTCTCGAAAAATCAAAAGAAAAAAAATTAATATTTCTTCTTCCCTCACTGGAACTCATTACATAGACCAGGCTAACCTTAAACTCATAGAAATCAGCCTATCTCTACCTCCCTAGTGCCGGGATTAAAGGCATGTGCTACCATGCCTGGTGTTAAACATTTGTGCATTTATGCCAGGCACACGCCTTTAATCCCACCACTCAGGAGGCAGAGGCAGGTGGATCTCTCTGAGTTTTAGGCCAGCCTGGTCTACAAGAGCTAGTTCTAGGACAGACTCCAAAGCTATAGAGAAACCCAGTCTAGAAAAAAAACAAACCAAAATTTTTTTTTAGATTTTTATTTTTATTTTATTCTATGTGTGTGGATGTTTCGCATCTGAATATATGTGCATCATGCTGAGATCAGAAGAGGACTTCAGCTCCCCTGGAACTGAACTTAGGAATGCTTGGGAACTGCCATATGGGTGCTGGGAACTGAATCCCGGTTCTCTGTTAGACTAGCGAGTTGACCACTGGGCCAACTACATACTCATTCTGCAGAAAGGGGATGTAAGCATACAGAAAAAGCAAACCTGGCTGGCATGCTGATTTGGTGCAAGACAGTGGGTTGTTTTTTGTTTGGGGGGTGGTTTTTTGTGGTTTTGGGTTTGTTGTTTTGTTTTGTTTTTATTTATTTGGGTTTTTTTTTTTTTTGTCCTGGATCTCTCTTTGAAGCCGAGGTTTTCCTGGAACTCTACGAGTCCCAAGAGTCCCAAGGTGGCCCTTAATTCACAGACGTCTGTGAATCCTCTGCCTCCCTAGTCATGGAATGTAAGGCATGTGCCACCACACCCAGCAAAACCGGGGAGGGGAGTGTTCAAAGTTCCTGGTGGAAAGAGAAATCCCTGCCCCTTGTCCTATAGGCTGGGACTTCAGTGATTCATACTAGCATAACCCCCGCCCCAGCCTATGGGTTAGGAAGAGAGCCTCAAATAATGAGTACAGGGGCAGGGGAGTAGCTTTGGGGGGACGGTAGTTAACAGCTCTCTGAAATAAGAGGAACCACCACCACCCCCAGTTTAGGAGAGAGTGTAAAGTTCTCTGTAACTGTTAACTGTGAGTTCACTGAAAATGGAATTGGCCTCCAACACAGAGTTCCATCTGCCTCTGCCTCTGGAGTGCTGGGATTAGGGACCACGCCACCACTCCTAGGTAACAATTTATGTTTAGGTGGTGGCCATGATGAACTCTTAGGTCTCTGGAAACGTAAACCAGAATAAACTGTTTCATGACCCAGTGACTCAGATCCCTGGCTGCTTTCCTGGGGGATCTGGGTTCCATTCCCCAGCACCCACACGGCAGCTCACAACCAACTGTAAGTCAGTTCCTATGAAGAAACCAGGCACATACATGTGGTGCAGAGACATACATGCGGGATAATACCTATTCACATAAAATTAAAAAAAGAGGCTGGAGATGATGTGGAAGTCCCCTCTGTGTGCTGTGATTACCATTAATGAATAAAGAAACTGCTTTGGACCTGCAGCAGGGCAGAACTTAGTTAGGTAGAGAAAACTAAACTGAATGCTGGGAGAGAGAAGGTGGAATCAGAGAGAAGCGATGGAGCTGCCGCTGGAGGCAGACACTGGAAACTTTACCCAGTAAGCCACAGCCACGTGGCAATATATAAATTAATAGAAATGAGTTAAATTAATATGTAAGAGTTAGTCAATAAGAAGCTAGAGGTAATGAGCCAAGCAGTGATTTAATTAATACAGTTTCTGTGTGATTATTTTGGGACTAAGCGGCTGGGAACTAACTAGTGGCCTTCTTCCTACATGGAGAGATGGCTCAGTAGTTAAGAGCACTTGGCTACTTTTCGGGTTTTCAGCAGTAGCAGGAAAAAAGCTGCGCTGTTTTAAAATGCCGACTTTCTGGGCTGTCCTGCCAGGGCAAACTCTGACTCTTTTAGGTAGGCAGTCCGACTAAGTGTGGTCTGTGAGCAGAATACTACAGCTTGCTTGCTAGCAAGGACCTTGAAATGCCATAGAGTTGTGGCAGTAAACTACAGCTCTGGCTGGTATCTCAGCCATGAGGCTGAAAAACAAAAAAATGGATTCATTCCAGCCGTAAAAGCCACACTTTTAGTCCTCTCCTTAAAAACTCATGTGGTCAAAAAAAGAGAGATATATAGTAAAAAAAAAAAGATTCAAAGTTGAAAAAAACCTCTAAATGGTTTACAGTGTGTATATGCAGGCTAAAAGTTAAAGTTCTTAAAGTTAAAAGAAAAAAAAGAAAGTAGTTGGCTGTGGTGGTACACACTTTTAATCCTAATGCCTGGGAGGCAGAGGCATGTTGACCTCTGTGACTTCAAGGGGCAGAGGTACATTGACCTCTGTGACTTCAAGGTGTGATAGCACACACCTTTAAACCCAGTGCCTGGGAGGCAGAGACCAAAGGATCTCTAAATTCAAGGTGTGGTAACATGCACCTTTGAGCCCAACACTGAGGAGGCAGAGACAGAGGGATCTCTGTGAGTTCAAGGACAGCCTGGTCTACAGAGTTATTCCAGAACAAAGATATACAGAGAACCTGTCTCAAAAAGTAAAAGTAAAAATAAAAGAAATAGAGGTTGAAATAAAGCTTCATAAAGATAAAAAATAAACAAAAAAT